TTTATAAATGTATATGTTTTAAAATTATAGGCATATGAAGGGTATACAGCATGTTTACGAATCGTTTTTTACTAAGCTCTAAGGTGTTTGTCATTTTAGGTATGGAGGATAACTAATGTTTTTATTGAGGGTAAATTATACAGGCCTGATCCACTGCAATCCAGGAAAGTAATTCTAAATGTCTGTGAAACCAAATCCTACTCCTTCCTCCCCACTACAGGCAAAGAACTTAATTGCCACGGTAGATTGTAGAGCAACAGCTTTCTCTAAAAAAACTGAAGGGGAGAAAATGGCTATGTAGCTAGAAGATCTTTATTATGGGTATATTCTGGCCATTACTCCTTCCCTGTTAAATAGGAGCAGCAGCTGTTATAGCCTGTGGTCCATGGTATTGATACAGAGAGTGCCAATGTACTGCAAATTGGCAGGTGGAAAATGGAAAGTTTGTTTTTCCTTCATCTCCCACTGACAGCCAGGTAAGGCAAAATTGGTGCAGAAGCTGAAACCACCTAAGGAGAACAGGGTAAGCCTTCTACATAGCAGTTCAGTCCAAATGACTTATTTATTTCTTCAAATATAAGATGTAGTTTTTACAACAAAATATTATCTTCTAAAATGGTTTGTCTAATATTTGACTAAAATAGTAAAAGCTCTTCTATGCACCACAGAGGTTTTCTCCCTATTAACATTTCCTTATCTGATGTTTTATTTTTTTATTACATTCAGGGTCAGAAAATGTGGCTGCATCTTAAATTCAAGGGAAGCTTATATTTGAAGGAATGCAGTAAATAGGGTCCTAAGAACAAAAGCATCATAAAAAGCATTACCCAGAAACACCTGATCCTGCCAAGTATATACAGTTTGATTCTCTGTATTTGCCAGCTTCCTTGCTCATAGCTGTTATCAAGTGGATCTTGCTGGTGGCTGCATTGTTAGATCTACTGCATAGTGTCACTGCTCCTGTGGTTTGTTTGCTAGCAATAGAGAGAGTTTGGCACCTGCAAAAGGGATCCTTCATTTGGATCTTTGAAGTTGTTGCTGATCTCACCCTCTGTCAAGTCAGGAGTGTCTCTCTATATTCTCCTATGGTGTTTTCAAGTTTGGGGATACAATGCATCAGGAGTGAATTTAATATGCAAAGATCAAGGGTACCTCCTTCATCTGGGAACTGCAATTATGGGTCCATAACCCTACTTGATTAATTAGGGGAGAGCTCTTGAACTTGTTGAGAGAGGCTCATAAATAGTGGGGTGGGGGTGGGGATTGCTGTGGCTCCAGACTATGGAGATGTTGGCCAAGCAAGCAGTGATGCTAAAGGGTAATTCAAAGTGGGGATCAGAAAAAGGAGCCACAAGGCCCCAGAAAGAACACCCCAAAGGCAAGAGTCCCTTCTTTGTCTCTGCTAGCTCAGGGCCTCAGTGCAAAGGACAGTCCAGGATGGGCTGAAAGCGGTGAATGACAGACAGGAATGGGTCTTTGCTCTGGTAATAGTGTATTGCAGCTGTTCATAACATCAGTGTCAGGAGAAAGTTTGCCCATTAGTGTCAATTGGATGGCTTTTCAGGAAGCCCTGGAACTGCAAATAATGGTTCTGCCTCTGACTTGAGGCTTTAAAACAGTTAGTTTTTCCATCTCCCAATTAGGGTCCCTGAAGGCTGTGCATCTTGCTTAACACTTGTTAAATGACTAAATTTGATCTTTTTTCAGCCATAGTGGGTTTTTTTCCAGCACATGCTAATATGTTAGTATATGAAGGACTACAGACTAATCACATTTAACAGCTAAAAACATTTTTTTCTTCTGATGTTCTAATAAAGATCCTAACTAGCATTGTTCAGAAGGAACTTTCTTTTCCAGCACATCTTCTGGTTATTTAATAAAACATTCCAGGTGCAACCCTTCCCTGTCCGAGTGTACGTGCTGTGAGACAGGCAGGCTTAGAGCCCTGAGCAGTATTTTCCTCTGCTTATTAGGAACTCACAAACTCTCTTAAAAGTATAGGATCAGTCCTGAAGAAAACTCTATTATTATTTTTCTGTTGTAACACCATTTTTCCCTTCTGGTTATTACTGGTTAAGTTACTTGTTTTTCATCAGGAGGCAGCAGCCTATCAAGTGCGGAAAACCCTCTTATAAGTATCTTCTGGTATGGTGAACAGGAAAAATCTTTTTCAGCCACTTCTTAGTTAATTAAAAAACCCCCAAACTCTGCAGCCTGAGAGGCAGTTACTTCTATGGAACTCATGTCCCACCTGGAAACATGGATTGGCTTTATAGGAAGAGATCTGTAGATTTCGAAGGAGAAAGGGAAATAACTTTGCACCTTAAATAAATGTAAGAATTTACATTGCATGTTTATAGTTCAAGCGGCAGGCAGCATCTAGAGCATGCTAACCTGTTACCGGGAATGATGGGTACTCTCTGTTAGGACAGGACATAATTTTTGGTTTATGTTTATGCCTATGTGGCACATATGTCAAGATCTGATACTCCTGCATTAATTTACTGAGCGTGAATGCAATGAAACTACTCTGGATACTGTTTAAAATAAAATGGCCTAATATTTCCCCTTGATTTTTATTGGACATTCCATGTATGTGTTTGAGAGCAGTTTTAGCCTAAATATCTGTCATTAAATGCATAATTATGATTGTTTCACTGCCTTTGTGTTTTAACAAGTAATCATTTTTCTAATTCTGAGTATATCTTACTGTTAAATTTAATTATGTTTAAATAATTGTCCATGTTATCAAAGACTCTTATAATGCTTACTATTAATCCTCATGAGAATCCAGAAAGTTAGGCATTTTACAGTTGGGAAAACTGAGGCACTGTGTATCTAAGAGGTGTATAAAATCAAATTACAAAAGAATTATAAGGCTAAAATAAAAGCCAGGACTCCTGACCCCGATACTGTTTTCTTAGCATTAAAGTAGATCAAGTTCCCCTGTTTGCTTCCACCCCAGAGTCATTTATTTCAACTATGAAAATCATATCGTTTCCAGAGTAAAACAATCCTGGAATAATATTTCTGTATGTTGGATCTGCATAGAACCAACATTGAACAGCTCAGCTGTTGGATTATCCCTGACCTCTAATAAGCAGAATCAAGTTAAATATAGCTTCTCTAACTGGAGAAATGCTGCATTTCTGATAGTTCTCTGGCATTATATATCTGTTTACAATATTCATCTAACATTATCAGGGTTTTTTGAAAGTTTTTGTCTTTTGGCAAAATGTTTTATAAACAGATTATTTGCTTGTGAGAACAAATGCTACTACATTCGAATTAGCCAGTATTTTCTAGAGGTCTGTGCTCAAAACAGTGATAAGAGAATATAGGGGAAAAAAAACATTGGTGTAAGCTTTCTTGAATGGCTGCTACTGTTCTTATGCATAAGCTAGTGTAGATTTATTTCCTGGAATTATTTTCTTTTGGATGAAGTAGATTTTGTTCTTCATTAATCTGGTGTAAATCTAGGTCAGTGGTGCCAAATTTACCCCACCCCCGGGCCCAGTTCAGGACCTGGTGGTGAGACCAGAAGCAGTGAGATAAGTAGGAGAGGCAGCAACAACAGGGTAAGCATGGCGGGGGGAGGGGGTGTCTCGCTATTGGCACAGCTGTGGCTCACTCCCCTGCTGCTGAAAGGCATCGTCAGGAGGGCCCAATAGCAGACTGTGCTCCACACTTGGCTCACCCCCAGGTTGCCCTGCCCCTTAATTCCTCAGTTCAACAGAAGCACTGAGGGCTAGAGTCAACAGTGACTCAAGCTGGATCCAAAATTTAGGCCGTGTGTTTGATGTCCCTGATTTAGATTAATTCCACTGAAGTCAAGGGGTGTTCTAAAGAGACCAAATTCTGCTTACACCAATATTCCTTGTGTATAAATGCAATGTAACTTCATAGAGGACAGGAATAAAATTTGGTCTTAGATTTTTATCACTGCAATTGAGAGCAGATTTAATAAACATGTAATAAGCAAAAACTATTAAACTTTTCAGAATTAGAGCTACGATACAGTGGAAATTTGAGACTTTGTAAGAAGATATAATTAATTCATCATCATTTGGCTAAGTGTTCTCTGAAAATAGTTTTGGTTGATCCTGGAAGCTTGTTGATGACATCTGTATTACCAGTTGTATATAAATTACAGACAGGCGTATCCTGATCCTCTTACTTGCATGAAATAGCATCCTACCCCATTAACAATCCTGTTTTAGTCAGAAAGGAATAGCAATAGAGTAAGGTCAGAACAAGACTGGTTTGTGTACAGACTACTGCCATAAAAGTATCCCATCTGAATAAAAATGTGTGGGTATACAAACTAACATTTCCTTGCATGGAATATAATTAATAGGAATATAGATTTAGAAATTATTTTTATATTTAATAAATAAAGCTGTATTTTATATATTATAGCAAATTTTGCCATGTTTTAAATGAATTATAATAGCAAAAATTACTTAACCCACTCCTGTAGTCCTTCAACATCTATGAAGTAGGGATGGGTCAGGTATATCTGTAGCAGATATATATTTGAATAACTGGATGAATAACAATGATACATGATATTTGTGTCACTAAGAAAAAAATACATTTTAACTTTTTCTCGCATATCCAATATCATGTGAAAAAACTCAAACATTCTGTGCAATTCTATTAACTCCTTGTATAAGATTTTGAATATTTAGATTAGAATCCCATGTGTATGTGGAAAGAGACTTCTACAGGCTTCTTTTAATTTAAAAATGGTCACTCTTTCAGCTGAGTTCTGAGATGCTTCCAGGAGCAGTATGTAACTTTTTCTCAAAGTTCTGAGTAAAAAGGCAGAATGGTAAAAGATGCTCTGACATGTCTATCCACCCTTATGTTGTCTTCAGTAAAAAAAACCCAAACAGTCCTCTGCAGTATAAAACAAAAGTCCACTGCTATATCTTCATAAGATGATTTGTATTAGATGATTTAATTTTTAACAATGTGCAGGTAGCTGTGATGGGCAGGACTGTCAGTGAATTTTGTCACTTGCAACTTCATACATGAAGTGGTTTTAAAAACACCTACTGCAAACAGTGTCACTCAATATTAAAGGACATAACAGGCTTTTTCGCAGATAAGCTTATGTTTTCTGATGGTTGATAGGAGAGGGAGCTCGTTTTTGTTGTTAGACTTGGATGTGCTCTGACATTTGGTGGAATGTATTTTAGTAGCTGCAGGAAGTATTTCTTAAAATTTTTTCCAAAGAAAACATAAAAAAAGGGATTCATACAGTTGTTAAAGTAAGCAATGCAGATGGTAAAAGGCATAGCTGTATCCACAATATCGATGATGTTGCACTCTGTTATTACACTCAACTGAATTAACACATCCAGGAAGGTAAACACTTGGTGAGGAATCCAGGAAAAGAAGAAGAAGCATACTATTGCCACAATCATCTTAAAAATTTCATCGTTTCTGGTCTTGTTTCTCTGAATTTGGTAAGCTTTCTTCAGGGTCTTCCAAATTAAGGTATAGCTTGTTAAAATGATTAGGAAGGGAATAAAAAAGCCCAGTACATTCTTGGATAAACCTAAGCCAACAGGGAGTGTTATATTATGGGTCTCATATCGAAAAACACACATAGTCATATTTATGTTCTCAGCAAAAATTATATTACGGTGAATTATGACAGGCAAACTGGCCATTCCTGCGAGCAGCCAGATGACGATGCAAGTTATTCTGGCAACAAGCATGGTGCGCCGAATACGTGACTTCACTGGATGTACAATCACCAGGTAACGGTCAATACTAAGACATGTGAGTAGAAACACACTGGCATACAGGTTAAAACTTACCGCAGCTGATGCTATCTTACATAAACAGTTGCCAAAAGGCCAGTGGTATTCCATGGCTGTGTTGGCTGCCCACAGTGGCAATGTCATTAAGAAACACAAGTCAGCCAGAGCTAAATTCAGCAGAAATATGCTGGCTACAGTTTTTAATTTCATGTAGCAATAAATGACAATGACCACCAAGCTGTTTCCAAATATGCCTACAATAAAGATGATGCTGTAGACAGTTGGAACCATAATATATATGTAGGGGTGCCTTCCTGAAACGGGACAGTCAATGTAGATTCTTTTAACAGTCTCATCAGCAGAAGAATTTAGGATCATTTTGATCTTTTCAGCTAATCTTCAGTTTCAGGAAAATAAAGTTCACCTGGGAGGAAAAAAGGGATAAACAGTTAGTAATGAATGAATTAAACTTTAAGATTTTGTGCATGGTGACAACTATGACTTCAGTTCACTGAAGGAAATTTTAACTTCAATCCAGAAGAAAGCAGGAAGCAAGAAATTTATCAGTCCTTTATTCATTGAACATCACCAATGAATAGGGACCTACTCAAATTGAGGAGGCAGGTGGCTGATTTCATGGGCAGATGAGGGGCTGGTTGCCCTTCATTTTCACAGGCTTATTGTGGTGGGACCCTTCCACGCCTCTAATTGGCCAAGAGGTCCCAGTGGCTGTGCCCTTTGCCACTAATTGGCTGAGGGCTCTCCATCATGCAGCCCTACCACTGGCTGCTGATTGGAGGGGCAGGGCTGCATGACAGGCAGTTCTCTTAGCCAGTCAGTGGTGATGGGTGGCAGCCATCTTGGCTGCTCCCCTTTGTGCTGGCAGCGTGCCCCCTTCCTTGACTGTGGGCTGCATGGCAGGGCCACAGAGGCCATGAGGACTGCTGGGTCCCATGGGGAAGCCAGCATTTTAGTTATTTATTTATTTATAGATTTCGCAGACACTGCCTGATTTCATAGACAGTGCCTGATTTTTGCAATGTCTCCAAAATTGTGACTAGAGTAGGTCCTACCAATTGATTAAGTCTGAGTTATACTTGAGTTTATACTAAGGTATACAATATACTGAGATACACAAGGCTAATACTTAATGAATTCTTATGCAGACAAATCTCCTAATGGAAACCTGTGAGATTTTTCAGTTCTTTTAATTTATTTGCACAACTATATTTTCATGTACTGTCTTGTCTCTGTATTAGCAGATGTAGTGAATGTGTGTGTGTGTTATGCATTTAACACTGCCGAAATCCTCAATTCTTGACTTTTTTTAAGAATTAAATATTATTCTCAGGCCATATCCTAGCATCGTTCTTTATGAAATTAGAATTTCACTGTGTGAATTAGCACCAGGAGAAGGTGATTTGTGTTTTTTTAGTCTCAGAAGGAAGTTCATTTTTATGAGTGTACTCTGGCAATAGAAACTGGCCTGTGAAAGCCATGGTACAACACTTCTGTTGCTATCAGTTGGCTCAAACAGTAGGGATCTTTTGCCCAGAACTGGTATTGATTTCAGTGAGAAGTTCACATAGGAGATTTATGTAGAATTGGGCTTTAAGCCAATAAACTCTCCCACCCATCCCCATTCTTTGATTTGGGCTGAGTTCACAGTTCAACTAATGCACTCAGGGCTTGATCCAAATCCCACTGAAGTCAGCAGGAGCTTTTTCATTGACTTCAGCGGTGGCTGGACTGGGCTGCAATTTACTATGCATTGTCCAACAGCAAAGCTGCAGCTAAAGCACAAACACAGCTCAAAGGAATCTCATCACAGAGCCACTAAAGGTATAAGGCTATATTAAAACAAAGAACAAACATAATGCCCAGTATATGATGCAATAATATCAGGGCTGCTCAGAAGGGCAAAAACCACTCCACTGTCATTCTCTCAGACTGGTAGCCAGCTGCTACTCCAACCATACCAGTAAGTACCATTTATGTACCACACTGTATGCAAACATCAAGAGTACGAAACTTATCGAACTCCAGTAGAAACTTATGTATACAAAAGCAATGGAAAAAGAATAAGTGAACATGGTCCACATTTCTCTGCGGTACCTTAATAAAAGGAAACTGGAATGGAATAAATGCATCCTCAGTTTCCATGACCTTATCTTATCAATGTTGTTGCAACAAAAACTAAGTATAGCTTATTTTCTTGGTTCCAAAAGTCCTTGTTTTCTGATCCCATTAAACCATGAGAAAAAAACTAGTTTTTAACACCTAAATCAACTAGTCTGAAATGAAGTGAGAGTGCTCTATCTGCCTCTGACGTAAGTTTGGCATCTCATTTGCAAACATATATACATGGATTTTTGTTGAAGGGATGACTTCACAGGCTTCACAGCATTACCAGCCTTTGAAACCACACAGAAAAAAGAGTCAGATCTTCAGCTTATGCATATTTTACAGGCATGGGCAACACTTTCTGTCCCCAGGGCTATGTACAGACATTACACATAAACTGGTGTAAGTGATCAGAAACTGGTTTAAATCTGGAACGGAACAGATGTTCAGTGCACATAAACCAATTTGAAAATGACTAAAGCTAGTTTGAGAAAAACCTTGTTGAATGTAGTATCAGACTTAACTGATTTGGGTTAAACCAGTTTATGCAATGTCTGTCACAGACCCTTACTGGTTTAAGTTAAATCAGAATCCCCCAGTATCCTGGCATGCTCTTTGGGCTGGGCAGGGTTCTCTGCAGGGCTGGCCCTTCCCCTTTGCTCCCTGGCTGGAGCTCAGCACAGACTTGCAGGCACAGAGCATCTGCCTGGCTTTTCCTTGCTAAGCAGGGATTATTCCTCCCTCCCCTCTGCTTAACGATGAGGTGTCTGCATAAGCTAGCAGACCACACAGTCCTTGCTTGGGAAAGGACAGGCAGATAGGTTTTTTGGGGCTAATCAACAGGTATCTTAATGTCCTTCCTTGGAAGAGCTGTTTAAGAAGAGTTCCATTAATTAATGGAGAGAGACTTTGTTTTCTTAATGGGGTGATAAACACTGAGTCAAGAATAATAAACATTCCCTGCTGAGCAGGGCAGAGCGGGGAATAATCAGAGCATCCTGAGCCTGGCCAGACCCCGCTCAGCTCTGCCCTGTGGAAGGAAAGGGAGGGCTGCTCTAGCGCCCCCTGGCTTCTGGCCTGAGCCACTGCAGGCATATGCCTGCATTTCTGGGATGTCTGTCTGAGTTACAAACTGATTTAGCCTAACCAGGTTAGAGTAGCCTGCAAAGATAGAATCAATTGAGGCTCAGGCTTTTTGAATATGTGTCCCTAGCCAAAGAGTTTAAAATGAAGTAGAAATGCAGATTCATTTATTTATAAAGAATTAAGTTGCAGCGCTTCTCTGCCTACCTGGCATCTGCCAGCAAGAAACATGCTTCACCCACTCCACCAAATCCCAGAATGAGGCCAAGGAGCTGCTTTAGCTTGGTCCTGTGTACATGCCAGGAATCTTGCAAGCAGTAGCGTAACTTGGGGAGGTGGGGAAGGGGAAGCAATGCACCCCCCGGGTGCTAAGGCGGGGTACCAGTCTGCCCTCTCCTCCAAGAGTCTGTCATGGCAGGTGCAATT